AGATCGGACCACATCCAACAAGAGTTGTCAGACCACATCCGACAAGAGTTGTCAGACCACATCCGACAAGAGTTGCGGACCACTCAGAGAAAAGACCACAGTTCCTGATCAGACTCTTAAGGCACCTCGTCGTAGTGGGAGGGTAAGCTTGTTGCCTGACCGGTATACCGGGGAAGCCGAAATCGTCACTACTGATGACGGTAAGGAGGATCCATCGACCTTTAATGATGCGATGGATGATTCTGATAAGGAAGAATGGCAAGCAGCTATGAAACTCGAGATTGAGTCTATGCACTCTAACTCAGTCTGGCAACTTGTAGATCTACCTGATGGGGTAAAACCCATTGGATGCAAGTGGATCTTCAAGAGAAAAAGAGGAGCGGATGGAAAAGTAGAGACTTATAAAGCAAGGCTAGTGGCTAAGGGTTATACCCAAAAGGAGGGAGTTGACTATGAGGAAACTTTCTCGCCAGTAGCTATGCTTAAGTCCATCCGGATACTCCTGGCCATTGCCGCATATTTTGACTGTGAGATATGACAGATGGATGTCAAGACAGCTTTTTTGAATGGCTATCTTGAGGAACCCATCTATATGGATCAGCCATAAGGTTACATAGAGGAAGGCCAAAGGCAGAAAGTCTGCAAACTGCAGAAGTCCATTTATGGACTGAAGCAGGCTTCTAGACCATGGATCATCAGATTTGATGAGGCTATAAAGTCTTATGGATTTGATCAAAACATTGATGAACCATGCGTCTACAAGTACAAGAAAGAAGAGAAAGTGGTCTTCTTAATTCTTTACGTCGATGACATCCTATTCATTGGGCATGATGTGGGATTGATGACAGATGTAAAGGAGTGGTTAGCCAACCAATTTCAAATGAAAGATTTGGGAGAGGCAAGCTATGTTCTTGGGATTAAGATTATTTGAGATCGCAAGAAAAAGCTTTTGGCGTTATCACAGGCATTGTATATAGACAAAGTGTTGTCTAGGTATTCGATGTAGAACTCCAAGAAAGGGAATTTGCCTTCTAGGCATGGTATTCATCTTTCTAAGGAGCAATGTTCAAAGACCCCACAACAGGAAGAAGATATGAGACGGTATCCCTATGCTTCGGCCGTGGGAAGCCTCACGTATGCCATGTTATGTACAAGACCAGATATATGCTATGCAGTGGGAGTGGTCAGTCGTTACCAGTCCAACCCAGGATTAGATCATTGCGTTGCAGTAAAGTGTATTCTCAAGTATCTTAGGAGAATAAGAAATTATATGTTGATATATTCCAGAGAAGATCTGTCTCTCACCGGATACACAGATTCTGATTTTCAATCGGATAGAGATAGTCGACGGTCGACATCTAGATCTGTGTTCACTCTTAATGGAGGAGCCGTGGTATGGAAAAGTATAAAGCAAAAATGTGTTGCTGACTCTACCATGGAAGTTGAATATGTTGCAGCTTGTGAAGCCGCAAAAGAAGCTACATGGCTCAGGAAGTTCTTAACTGATCTGGAAGTTGTTCCAGATATGAATAAGCCAATTAAGCTCTACTGTGACAACAGTGGAGCGGTGGCTAATTCAAAGGAACCTAGAAGGCATAAGAGTGCGAAACATATAGAAATGAAATATCACCTGATCAGAGACATTGTGGATACAGGCGATGTAGCGGTTTTGAAGATCGCGTCAGAGGACAACCTTGCTAACCCGTTCACCAAGACATTGCCATTGAATGTATTTGATCGGCACTTAGATGGATTTGGGATTAGAGACATGACACACCTGCTTTAGGACAAATGGGAGATTGTTGGGAATAGTGTCCTAGAAGCATAAGATATAATAGGATATTTGTTATTTAATTAATAAAAGAGTTTATTCATCATTTTATGGGCATATATTTATGAATATTTTATGACTATCAAATGAAAATTCCGTGATTATTTATGTAACCTTAAACATAGTATATAAGTGTTATATACGAGAGGATAGTGTTTAAGGATAATAAT